TGCTTGGGGGTTAATCTCTCCCAGCTTTGCCCACCTGGGTTCTCCATACAGCAACAGGCGAGGCCTGGGGGGTGGGGAGGCAGAGTTGCAGTAGTCTATCGGGATTCCATCTCCCTTACCAGGTGCCCTGTCCCACAGTCTACTGGGTATGAGTGTGTCTACGTAAAAGTGGGAGGCCGAGACAGATTTGGGATTTTGTTGGTGTACCACCCACCCCGCTGCACAACAGTCTCCCTGCCTGAGCTGGCTGAATTAGTCTCTGCGGTGGTGCTGGAGTCCCCTTGGCTTATTGTCCTGGGAGATTTCAACATCCACGCAGAGACTACTCTGTCAGGAGCAGCTCAGGACTTCATGTTTGCCATAACAACCAAGGGGCTGTCCCAAGTAATATCTGGTGCCACCCATGTTGCAGGACACACTCTGCACCTGGTTTTTTGCTCTGGGCAGGATGATGGTGATCTGAGAATGGAGGAACTCTCTGTAGTTCTGTTGTCATTGCATGATCACTACCTGGTAGGGTTTAGACTCACTGGGACTCAGAGCGTCTGCAGGGGTGGTGGCCCGATTAAGATGGTCTGCCCCAGGAGGCTTATGGATCTGGATGGATTCCTGATGGTTCTTGGAGAGTTTGTTGCCTTGGCAGGTGATCCTGTCAAAGCCCCAGCAGATTTCTGGAATAAGGAAATGGCCAGGGCACTGGATACAATTGCCCCTGAGTGTCCCCTCCTACGAAGTAGAGCCAAACATACCCTCTGGTTCACTAGGGAGCTGGCAGTGATGAAACAAGTGGGTCGGAGGTGGCAGAAGACACAGAGTGAGTCCGACTGAACACGAGCTAAGGAATATAATCATGTGGTGGCTTAGCTATTTGTTACATAGGGTGGGTATCATGGTTTTAGTGGGGTTTTAATGTCTGTAATTTTATACTGTTTTTAGATGAGATTTTAACTATTTTATTGTAATATGTTTTTAGAATTCTATTTGTGAGCCGCCTTGGGTCCTCTCTGGGGAGAAAGGTGGGTTATAAATCAAATCAAATCAAATCAAATCAAATAAGATCTGAAATATCCTTAGTGGGTCCTTAGTCTTTGGATGGCCTACTTCTATTGTCATGGTCAACTGTCTCACTTTCTCCCTATGGGTCTAAGTCTTTGCAATCACCCACAGAGAAAAGCAAGTGGTAGTGGCAGAACCATTTCCTCACTCTTGCCAATGCTTACCTAGTTGTTGAAGATACCTGAATGGGTACAAAAAGCAGAAGAGGGACCAAGTCAGAAGATCTTCAAGAATGGCAGTGAGGCATTAGTCCACTCTGGGTTTTAAAGGAGCTATCCAGAGTGCTGAACTTCATTTGAGAATAAGGTTCAGCACTTTGACCTTGGCTGGTGTCAACCCGCTGCCAGCTTTGATGGTGGATTACCATATTTTTATGTTTCAGCAGTCTGCTACTGAATATATTCTTTAAGTTTGAGAATTGTTTAACATTTTGTTTTGCCTGATAGTTACAGTGTGCTCTTGCTGCCAGTTGCTTTGAACACTAAAGAGGAACAGGATGTGGAAGTAAACCTTTTAAATAGTTACCATTTAAATACATGGAATTCAGCCTCTCACAAACAATCTTAGGATGCAGGCAGGCTGGTATGGGGATGGGGGGCAATGATATGTAAGGTCACTTTAAATGGAGATATAACTGATTTTGAAACTAAATTCTATGCATTTAGTTAGTTATTGCCCACCCCTACCTTCAACTAAACTGCTGCCCTCAGGTGCAGTGGAGTTCAAAAATGTAGCTATAGTCCCCAAAAGTATTTACCCCCCTAGCTCTGACCAATGGCATTATGTAAATCATGTGGAAACAGTCCAACCCTGACACTACACTTGGTATCACATTTATGTTAATACTTGTTTCATAGTTAATTTCAATTGTTTTAATGGTGGAGTTCATTGTTAAGCATTTTGAATGCATATACACAAAAGCTGTTTCTGCATCTGTAGAGCCATCCAGATTTCCTATCTAGACTTCCTACACACCCCTTTACCTGGCCTTAAAAAAGAATGACCTGTTTCTCTTGGAAGGCTTCTGGAGTGGGAATTCACATGTTAAGTAGGCTGCAGGGGTCCTGTACTCTGATAAACATTTTTAAAAAACAAACATCTATTTTGGTAGACCAAAACAGTTTTTTTACTTTGTGATGTGACATTTTGGGGTATCTGTTGAGCCCTGGGAGGGTAATAGGGACAGAAAAATAGCTCTGGGTTGATGAGCCAGTATGGTATAGTGGTTTGAGCATTGGACTATGATTCTGGAAACCAGAATTTGAATTCCAGTTCAGCCACATAAACCCACTGGGTGACCCTGGGCAAGTCACACTCTCTCACCCTCTGTAGAAACTGCCAAGAAAACTCCATGATAGGTTCTTAGGGTCACCATTATGTCAGAAACAACTTAACAGCAACAAACTTGTTGCAGTTGCCCACTTTCTTAATAAATTAGCAACAAGGCCCAAATGAATGAGCAAGTACAGAAAACACTGCATTTTTGGCTCTACTGCATCACATCTACTTTGAAAGAAGTTTTTTTCAAAACAAGGACAGCGACCCCCCCCACACACACACACACTTACGTCATTTTTGTTGTAATACTTCAAGGCGCCTTCTCGTTCTGAAAGGACAAATTTCCGGGTCAAGAATTGTCCATTGTCACGACCTCTCTTCCAAAGGAATCCTTCCCGGTACCCTAAGGAGAAACAACAACATTCTTCAGATGACAGATGACAACAGTTTGAAAAGAAAATGAATAATTGGTTTTCTTCTTTGTCTGGAGGTGGATGACACCTAATCCCCCTGGCTAGGTGTCAGGTCTGCTTTCTTTGCTGTGACCTTTGAAGTATGACAATGGCAGAAGACTGAGGCTAATTTTTATCCAGGGAGGTGCTTCCCTAGTAGAAGGTATTTTTATTTTTTAATTTAAAAAACCTAATTTATATCCTGCCTTTCTCTTAATAGGCTTCCTTATTTTATGATGGCTTCCTTATTTTATGTAATTTTATTTATACTCTGCCTTTATTCCAGGAAGGGACCCAGCTTCAAGTACAGGTTAAAACAACACATATTAAAACAATGTACAGTATAATACAAAAGTTTAAGTCCTGATTCAACCATATAAACTCACTAGGTGAACCTGGATAAGTCTCACTGTCTCAGCTTCCAAGGAAAGCAATGTCAAACCCCTCTGAACAAAAGTTGCCAAGAAAACCCCATGACAGGGTTGCCTTAAGGTCACCATTAGTCAGAAACAACTTGGAAGCACACAATAACACAACAACAGAATCTCTCGGGTATATAGGAACCACTGCCTTATTTTTAGGAAGCCTTGTCACCCAAACCAATAAGTAATTATTCACAAATCAATTCTTAAGTAGCACTTCATAGGATTATCCATTTAGGGATGGGCAATTAGAAAATTGAAAGAATAAAAGAACTCCAGTGCCTTGGATCAAACACTGAACAGGAAGGAAACTACAGTCAAGAAATCAAAAGAAGACTAGGAATGGGAAGGACAGCTATGAAAGAACTATAAAATATCCTAAAGAGTAAAAACATATAACTGAGCACTAAAGTCATAATTGTCCAAGCCATGGTGTTCCCCATCACCATGTACGAATGTGAGAGCTGGACAGGAAAGAAGGAAGATAAGAAGAAATCAATTCATTTGAGAGGTGGTGCTGGAGCAGACTGTTGAGGATACTGTGGACAACCAAAATGACAAACAAATGGGTCCCAGAACAGATCAAGCCAGAAACCTTCCTGGAAGCCAAGATGATGAAGTTGAGGCTGTCATACTTTGGCCACATCATGAGAAGACAGGACTCATTAGAAAAGACAGTAATACAAAGATAGGTGGAGGGATGTAGAAAGAGAGGAAGACTACACACTAGATCAGGGGTAGGCAACCTTTCCCCTTTAAGGGCCGAGGGACTTCAGCTCCCAGAATCCCAGGAGCTATTGGCCAACATGGGACTATTGGCCAACATGGGACTATTGGCCAACATGGCTGAGGCTTCTGGGAGCTGAAGTCCCTCGGCCCTTAAAGGGGAAAGGTTGCCTACCCCTGCACTAGATGGTTGGACTCTATTAGGGAGGTCACAGGTATGAATTTGCACTACCTAAACAGAGCAGTGGCAGACAGGGAGTCTTGGAGATAATCTCATCCACAGGGTCTCCCTGAATCAGGATTGACACAAAGGTGGTTAACAACCACCACCACCACCAACAACAACAACATTTAGAAGTCTCAACCAAATTGCTTTAATGTCTCACCAAGCTACGAACACCAAATCTTAACAAAACAGAGCCCTACGATAGGGGCACTATGGGTCAGAGTCAATTTGAAGGCTCAAAACAGCAACAACAGATAATAATAAAACCATTCCCCATTGTGAATGTTGAAATTCAGCAATTACATGGGGTGGTAGAACATCCCCCCATTTCAAATACTGAAAACTTCAATCAAAGGACAGTTGCATACAAAGAGCAAAGAACTGACGCATCCCAAGAACAAAACAACTTTACATTTTGTCAACATTTTATTATTCAAGAGAGAGAGCTGTTAAGACACCCAAATGTCAAAACCCAGCAAGAGCAACTTGACTGCGCCTAAGCAAAGCTGACGATTTAATCAACCGTATCTGCCAGGCATCACCTGTGTACCTGTTGTGTTTTCTGTCAGCATCCTCAAAGGAAAAATTCATTAGCCTCCTTCCGATCCATCATGTACAATGCAATGTGGAATTAAGTAGCATTTTGGCAAAGAGTCAAAGAGCATTGGAAGGCTGAGAGGAAAAGGCAACTTGCAACTCTTTAAAAAGAGATGCAAATTCAGCAAAGCTGGGCAGAAGGTAGATCTAGGTCTAGTAACAAAGCTCGGGAGGATCGCCTCCAGCAAATCAGTAAGAATTTTGGGTTATTTGTTTGTTAATAAGAGGCAACAAAATAAGAGAGCCAGTTTGACATAGTGGTTTGAGTGTTGGACTATGACTCTGGATGCCAGGGTTCGATTCTCAGCTTAGTCACGAAATCGAAAGAAAGAAGTCAGTACATGGTGCTTCCAAAAGTCAGTGTAGGAAAAAAAACAATACTTGGAACCACTGAGAAAATAAATTGATCTATAGGTACACAGTGGGGTAGTGAACATTGGACTGTGACTCTGGAGACCAAGGTTGGATTCCCACCTTGGCCATGAAACTTACGGGGTGAACTTGGGCAAGTCACATGCTCTCAGCCTCAGGTGAATGCAATGGCAAACCTCCTCTAAACAAATCTTGCCAAGAAACGCCAGTATAGGGTTGCCATAAATCAAAAATGACTTGAAGGCACATAACAACAACAATAAAATGACACACACACAGTGGCAAATGAATAGTTCTCAGGTCTGTGGGGCAGTGTATCCATGCTGGGTTGGAGTCCAATCTTTATAGGAGCTTCCCTACAAACTGCATCTATTCTGGGGGTAAAGTTCAGCATCTTGAATAAGACTTTTAAAATTTAGACT